CAGAAACATATGGAGTGATTAATATATTTATCTGACACCAACTCGTGATTTTCAAGAATGAAATTAAATATCTAGGTACAGTGTGGTATGGTTAATGTATTCGACTTCGCACTTAAATAAAAAAAAAAGTAAAATGCGCTAGTAGTGGATATAAGCATTGTTATTTAAAGTAATATACACTCCAAAATACAAAATTATAATGTAGAGTAGAACATCTTAAAATAAATATGATAATTTGACCATCACAATAACATGTTCATGTACTTGTAAAGCCTTTTCCAAAAGGGGTTTTAGGATTTTGTTATTTAATAACTAATTACTGTCAGCGTAGTTATGCTAGACACTTAAATAATGTCATGTACATTTAATGTCATTTGTGTTTGATTAAAAAACAAAATCTTCAAATTTCTTTCAGAAAATTCTTTACATAGTGAGAATGGTTATGATTACATTAATTTGCCCGTATCTATAGACTTCGAAAAAAAAATGGTGATTGTTAATAATTTCACATTATAAGAAAGGTTCGCGTGTTAAAAATGCTTAAGTAGTGCTGAACACGAAGAATAAAGCAACAATTAGACATACCAATGAATGATGTAAGAATATCTGTTATGTATTCTATATCATATATTATTATTAAAAAATTACTTGTAAACTTAATTATCCTGGATCAATTAGAACTGAAAACTGTTGCCAGTTTAGTATTTCTACTGTTAAATACAACGCCATTAGGTATGCAATTAAGAGGCTTCAGCGTTATGCAGATTGCATCACACAGGCGCAGTGCTGTAGGTAATTCATACTTTTTTTTTTAATTTTTGCATATTATACATATATTGTCTACGCTAGTGAATGTCAAAAATACATTAAATCCGTAGTCTATTCATAAATATATCAAAAACATTCGTGTACTGTTGCGTACTGAAGAGATCTGATCTGAAAAGCGCGGCGTTCTTATTGATCAGAATTTTCACACTTTCGTAACGCACGTAATCAATCGAATACAACAAGTAATGTCATTTATGTGATCAATTAATATAAACGATTACATCGGTAGCATTATTATCGCTGCTTTGGCATTTTTTATATTATCACAGAAAATCATTTTAGTCTCCAGATCTTTTTAGTCTCCAGCAGTACAGATTACAATATAAGGACGTATTGTTATTATTATTGTATTGTACCAGCTTAACTTTTATTTTATGAACGTTTTAAAATTGATATCCCAATTTTAATTTAAAAAATCGTATTTTTAAACAAAGTAGGCTCATCGTTTTCCTAAATTTATGAATGAACTGGTACTTTTGTAATTTGAACATTATTCAGAAAATGTTTCCTCCATTTTTGATAACGATTTCTATGATGATATGAGAATACGTATGAGTTACAACATTCTGTACACAAAGATTTGATTACTTATTAATATTTGATAAAATGATTATTTGATTAGCGTGATTATTTACTGCAGTTATAGTGCGATATCATTACGTAAATATATGAGTAAATAAGAGAATTAATACGCATCACTTTAATACTAAATAATGTAATGATTCTCACATACAGACTTCTTCGAGACACCTTTTATGAATATTCATTTACCATGTTTTTCTCGTTCGATAGTTATGATAACAATGTTGATTATACCAAAGAATATTTCGCAACCATTTAACTTTAGATATGTACTTGGTCTACGGAATGGTCAATAGAGGGCCGTGCCTGTAAATAGAAGTAATCGTCAGAATTAATGTATCATTAAAAACATTATAATATATTTAATAACGAGACAAAAAAGGGAGTACAGACTGTAAATTTCTTGGTAAATTTCTGGAAAGATTTAGGGAATGATGTGTTAAATTTGGGGAAAGAAGTATCTATAGCTGTTAAAAATAGAGTTTTGAGCGTGGAATAATAGCAAGCACTTGATTGACGGCTACTCAGACTTTAAGACAGTAAAATTTGTTTACAAACCGATTTCTTGATAAATTTCTGAAAGTACTAAGAGTAATAATGTATCAAATAAGTCAAATTTGAGAAAAGAAATCTCTAATATTGCTAGAGCAACAACCTTGGATATTGAACAGTGCTAAAGGTGTAACTGAAGGCTACTGACTGTTTAACGCAGAAAAATTTGTTTACAAATCGATTTCTTGATCAATTTCTCGAAGTACTAAGAGTAATAGTGTATCAAATGAGTCACATTTAAGAAAAGAAATCTCTAATATTGTTAGAGGAACAACTTTGAATACTGAACAATGCTATACTATTACTACTGACACTTTAACACAGAAAAATTTATTTAGAAATTGATTTCTTGGTCAATTTCTCGAGAGATTTAGGGAATTGTGTCAAATTTGAGGAAAGTAATCTTTAGAATTGCTAGAGTTACAGCTTCGAGTGTGGAACCACTCCGTATATTTATAATTATCAAGTCATTAAATCTAACATCTCACGAACAGACATCTGTAATCTATCAGATTGCAAAAAGGAAGAAGATCAGAGTCGCAGAAATATAGACCGAGACCCTTGTAAGATATATGCCAACAGTACACATTCTAAGATAAAGTATCGTCAATATTCGTAAAGCAAATCATGCATTTTATTAGATGAAACAAACGAACAATATTGACAACGAATGTAGCAACTGCAATCAATCATGTTTACGTTAGGTATTAGCTGTAGGACAAAGAGATTGTATATACGCAAACCCTTTTTGGCAAAGAAATTTTATCTGACCAATATAATAAGATTAAAATATGGCCGGAAACTTTTTGCATTCACTATCCATATGTATCATCATCTACCTTTTATCGTTGTAAACACAAATTCTATTGTAATTTTGTAACTGTTTTCCAAACAACGTTACAAAAAGGTTTATTGGCGATTTTGTAATAAGATTTATGCGATTTTTTCTCGCTACGTCAAGATGTTAGTGTTACAAATTGCATTTATACCTGCCTCAGACTTACCTCCCACGCAGTCTGGACTTACACAAGGCTTGTGGACAGGCCTTTGCATTTGTAAACAAGGTATGGTACACAGGTAGTATGTCTGCGGATAGTTACATACCGAGCAATCGTATCCAATCGGATGAGGTTGAGGTTGGGGGCACTAGGATAAATATGAAACGTATAATTAATGAAAATCAGATCAGATCAGAAAACCAGATCTGGAGCACCACAATCATTTCAAGGCACGGCAAATACGCAAATAATTGACACCACAAAGAGATGCTATCGCGGCACGGTGGCGCCACTAATTTTTCTGCTCGCCGTCCGCTGAGACGACGAACGTGCACTTTTCCCCCTTTAAAGCATTTAAACAAACAAAATACCAAACAGTTTGTAGTAAATGTACTGTAAATACGTATGGGCGTCGGTATACAAAGAATTTTGTACTTTGTTTCTGAAATTTTGAAATTTATGGCGCCTCAAGAAATCATGAAATTCAAAATACATGTAGGTAGGAGTTAAACTTTGACCCGATGGCAATACTTCTCTGAGAAAGTAGTTAATTAATTTTATGTATGAGGACTAAAATATTGAAAATATATTATTATATACACGTCCAAGATTAATAAAAAAGTATGTGTATAAAATGTTAAGTAAATTATTATATAACATTTTATTAAAATAAATGTGACTCTTCAGAGTGCAATCTCGTTAACTTACACACGTTCAAATAGTTCATGAAAAAATGTTTATACACATTGTTACAGTGAGGGCTAAATTTTGTTACGATATGCAGAGTGGATCAAGTAAGTATTATAAGTCGTAACTCTTCTAGCGCTGTTGAAAAAAATGTCAAAGAAATAAGATTCAAAAGTGATTCAAAGAGTATACTATATTTAAAGGAGTTCATTTTTTTCTTTTTGTAAATACAATGGTGCGTGTGCATTCGATAATTGTATTCTTTTTATAAATGGAAATTCTTCTGTATGGATTTAATGAAACTAGTACTTAGACAATGTAGTATATTATTCAAAAATGCTTGTTTCTTTACATTTCTGATAACTCAGCTCTGAGATAGAGTGGTCACCGCGGAATACTCATGTAAATAATAACATTGACATAAGTTCGATAATGTAAGTTATTTTTTAAATACATAAATCGAGACACACGCAATGAAAAACGTTCTTACGAATAAGGTTAAACTTATTATTAGAAAAATGTTCGTTTATCAAAAAAACAAAAAACTCGAAAACATGCGTTTTTCTTGGGCCGTCCTACGTAGCTTTCCGCCCTTTAATATAGTATTTGAAGACTGCAGAAAGAAAGCAGTAATAGTCAAAAAAGATTCAATTAAAGAAGAGTTAAAAGTAATAAAAGAGATGCAATTTAGCCACCATTGCAATTCAGTGAATCCTGTCTAAAACGATCGAAGATTCTCTGTGTTAGAGATGTGGGCAACCACACCACTTCTTGGTACTATTTGAACAAGCTTCAAACTCGAAGGCGACATCGGTCAGTCCCGTCAACGTGTGAGCCTTACACGTGAGGCATGATCCGTACCCGAGTCGGGGCCTCTTAATTCGTGGTTGTTACCACGTGGAGCACGGAAAGAACGGTGGGTAGCAACAATAGAGGATGAGAAGCGAGACGGCGGAAAACACACATTTTCTTTTCCAAGACTGAAACGGCCGAGAAGGTAAACAGACGGACTAATGATGAACCCATATAACAAGTTTCAAGTCGAAACATCGAAAATTCAAGGGCGGGGAGCGTTCTAAAAGGAAGAAAGGATGAAACGCACACTGTGCGTCCGCCGCCGCTGTGGCGAGAATTACAGAACGTACACCGTGCGTCCTTCGCAGTCAACGTGTTAAACAGGATTCACTGTTCTATCTACATAGAACGCGATATTAAATTAAATGTAAACAAACTTACTGGAGTGCAGGACTGCCAATGTGTTTGCGAGGATTCATGAGAGCAACACGATTGCTGATTACAGTGATGCCTTGGAGGACACCAAGGATGTGAAGGATTCCAAGGATTTGGAGGACAATAGGTAGGATACGGAGGAAACGGAGCATATGGAGGGAACGGAAGGAAGACTACCGGTGGAGATACTGAAACATCGAAATGAACAATACAATTAAGTCAATAATATTCGACGCTTTACTCGCATCATAGGGGAGATGTTACAATTACTGATAGGTGTATTAGTTAGTGGCACTTGGAATGGTAGCATACATAAAAAAATTACGTGTCACGTGACCTTGACTATAAATGGGGAAGAAAAGAAATACAATTTACTTTGTTTTTTCTTTTCAATTTACTTTCTTTGTTTCGGATAGAAAAGAAATGATGAAATAATAATGTGTTCGCAAAGTAAAGGAAAAAAAATATGTACGCGTTCGGTTTTTGTCGCGAATCTCGTGCCAAAAAGATCTCTTTTTTACCCATTCGTTGCCTCGGATGAGTCAAAAGCCTTGTCAGCAACAAGATACAAAAATAAAACAGTCATTTCATTGCACTTGTAAGGATGAGTATGGTCTGTGCGCTTCTGTGTGTGTGCGCGTTCTGGGTGTGGATGTGTCCGTACGAGGACGTTCATCAAAATATGGAGAGTCTTGCTCGAGCCGTCTTACCGAGCACATGTTTCGTGCCATTGTCCAATAGATATTACAATAAAGTTATTACACATTTTAATTCTATGTAATAACAGCCACGTATACTCTGTACTTGGCGAGTGTACTCGGCATCGTTTACTTTTTGCTATACATATTAAGTATAGAAAAAAGTGACCAAAGTCAGGCCCCTCCAGTTATGTCAGATTCTTAACTTATTTTGTTAAGCAGTTTCTAATTAACAAATAGCGAATGGAATAAATATTTTAAAATCATTTTTGACACTTCTGTGTAAATTCGAAAATATTTTTCACTGTCATTTTTTGCATGAATTCTGCCAAGGTAAGCTGTTACATAACTGACCAAAGACTCTTTTGCAACTAAAAGTTTAATTTTATCGTCAATGTTAAGAAACATAATATAAGGAAAATTGGGGATTCGACTTAAATCACTTTCCTCTACACTTTTCAAAAAATTCACGACAGCTAACTAGTTAACACCTGAAAACAGTGACTATTTACCACTTGATGATCCATTGGCCGAACTGGTATTAACATCCACTATAATCGTGACATTGAAAGGTTTACTATCCTTTGGATGTACTTCGCAGTCAGTGTTATTCTTACAAATGCTTGGTTTTGCACTTTCGGTTTCGTACTCGGTTTCAGTGATCACCTGTTGCTTGTGCTTCGTTCTTCGTAGACAGTAACTACAATAATCCTGACAGTCACTTATCGAACGTTCGTACTCGCATTTCTTCATACACGACGTCTTGCATATTTCGTCTAAAAGAAATGATTTTTCGTCTTAAGTTGAGTTAATTGACCTAGGATTGAGTTTAATCGTATTTGTAATAATACAATAAGATAAACAATCCTTCGACCTTCGTTCTTTGCATACTTCAATATGTTTTACATTCGTACAAAGTTTCACTTCAATCAGAATTTTCAGGTACGAAAGCTTCTCTTGTTTGACGTTTTTTTTTTTTTAAATGTAAGAGAAAGAAAATTAAATATTGGTAAAGTTTAACAATAAAGAAATTAAGTCTTATGAAATAGTAACACTTATATTTAGTTAGCTTGCGCCACAAAATATAGTCTGTTTAACATATTTCAGATTAGTCTCATATCGATTGGTATTAAAGGAGCCGCCGAAAATAATCTGTATACTAAGGGAGTCGCGGGTCTAAAAAGTTTGGGAACCTCTGATCTGATGTAATTCTAATGTAATTCCTAAAATATTGCACGTGATTAATATAAGCTGGAATAAACTAGGGCTGTTATAGTATCCGAAAACATCAATCAAATCATTTTAATTATTCGTATAATGTAAATTCTACATATCATGCTGTTACACAGCAGAAAAATCTTAAATTAATCGATATTATATCGTGTTTGGTAGCATTTTCATCAGTATAACATCAGGAATTCAGTAGGGCAATTTGTTTCTTTAACTTTTATAAAACACAACAAAAAGTGAACATATCATGACAAACATTTCACACATTAATGCTCGGGCCCTTTCAGGTCCGTCGTGGGTTAAAGTCGGCACACGTGCGCTTTGGATGGTTCAACCCTTGGTTTATGGCTTTCAGTAATCACCCGATTTCACTTCATATGCATCGTATTATTACGGGAGTAACGCCGATGGATTCCTTGCGTTTTCCTGATGAAACCACGCTTCTAAACACTATGTAAATCGGACTATTTTTAACGAAGATAGGCAAAAAGCGTGCAAATCGCTTTTTCCGTATAATTTCCTTCTAAATAATCCGAATTGTATCGTGTCTGGTACCGTTTTCATCGGGAGAACATAAGGAATCGATTGGTAATACATCCGTTAAGATCCGATAAGAAATACGGAAAATGATGGTCGGCCTTCTTTGGGTCTAGTTTGCTACGTCCCTTTTATGATACCATTGTTGCCCGGCGGCGGACTAACATGTCTACTCGGAAAAGCTTGAAACCATTCGAGTTGCTCGGTTCTTTCGGGCCGCTTAGTTTTTCCGGACCGCTCGATTTTATTCGGGTAGCTTGAAAAATTCAAGTTACTTGGTTTCTTTCGGGTAGCTTGAATCTTTCAAGCTACTCGGTTTTTTCAAGTACTCGACTCGGTTCGGAAATCGGGTCCCGGTTTGACTCGGCTTGGAAGCCGCTTGAATATTCGGTCTTTCCGGCAACTTTAGAATAAACCTACTTTGGGGTTTCAAAGACTAATAGTAATAATAATAATAATAAAAACGGATTATTGCGGTACTATTACTTTGACAAGTGTTTGAAAACCTATGAATACGCTGTGCCTCCAAATCTGGCGTACCCCATAAAATGATTCGACCACTCGGATGACACTCGATCGAGGAGGTACGTAAATGTATTACTTTAGCCACAGCCATATTTTATTACCATATTCTCCATGATTCGGATCGTCATTGTGATGATGGTGTCTCTTCAGTCTCTTGAGGCAATATATGTACGTCTTGAAGTTCGGATTAGTGCAATCGATGTTCTCCTGTGTCGTTGACGTCGTTGGTTCCACCGACGATACTGGGATAGCAAGCACGTAGAACGCGAGCGTGCCAACGAAAATGGCGATAAAGCAGAATATTCGCGACTTCATCCCGAGACACTCTAAGGAAACAGTCGTCCAATGCGATCCGTGCGTCCCTTTATATTCGTGTTACTTCCCCTTCGGTAAATAACCAGGGCGCCGATCCCTGTTCCAATGGCATAAGGTATTTTTGCGCCGCGCTAGGAGATAGCAGGGACGTCGCACTCTAGGCTAATATTTTAGCGCGACAATTTTTCACCGCGTTTGTAATACCACGACAAATTTGCACTGCTTATCGTAAACCGACCCGCTGGAATCACACTCAGTCCCAGTTCTTAGGAAAGACGCGCGAGTATCTACAATCTGACCGATAAACACGATTCTATAACTTTTGCCCACTGTCCACTATTATCCTGTCAGAGGACGTTCACGAAAACGTTCTTTTTTCGTTGGTAGAATACGTTTGACTATCGTTTGATCTTCAAAGGGTGAAACCGCATTAGAAAGCCAAACATAACCTCTTTTTGAATAGCATTATTAGTTATAAAAACATTGAGATCGTTCTTTATTTTATAGATCTCGAAAGAAATTCCTAAAGTATGCTTCAGTTTTCGGTCGTTACACCAGAAAGATCCTTGAAGGAGGGAAATCATGTTAGAAGGCCAAATATTAAGTATTCTTCGTGATTTTTTTTACAGAGAAAAATTTACTTAATTTATCTTTAACTGTGACAATGTTTCAGGTATGTTTTAAATAGCATTCGATAATTTGTTCAATTCAATTTCAAGTATGTTTTTGATTGCAAAACGGTTTTACCAAGAATGGTAAAAATTGATACATTCTCTTTAAGCACATCTAAAAAATTCAATTTTCAACTTTTTTGACCGCAGTTCAATTCATATTCTTTGAAAATACGTAAACAATGTAAGAAAACAGTATCGTTGATTTCTGATAACAATTGTGATTAACAGTCCAACACGTTCCGTGTCGCGTGAACCATTTATGGTATTAGGCTTTAACAAATCTTATTCGCATGACATTACATATACTTCTTCTAAATCCAAACAAAAGACACGTGGCACCGAGTACAACGACTCGCTAACAATGCATGCACGCACATGATTCTCTTTTATCGTATTCAACGACATGCGTTAAATCGTGACGCCTGTCTCAAATGTTTCAAAAAGACGGTTGGTTGCACGTCGAAGAACTCAGAAATGTGAGATTTTGATATTCGCTGTCATACACGAAGAATTTAATAGAAAAGTGCAAAGGTCCTAAGACGTTACTATAGACAATAAAAAAAACGTGAAAACGCGCGCGAAGAAAACAGTTTCTATCACCTGAATCTGGAAGTGTGTTGTGTAGTGTGTTGTTTGTGGCGAAATTATTGACGAGGATTGGATTCAGTGGTGTATTTGTAAAGGCTAGGCTCGCGTATAGATATAAACCCATCACACAAATATTAAAATTATGATCATTGTATTTCGAAAAAACGATTTGAATTTGAAATTTTATGAGGGTGTAAGCGGGTATCCGCCACTTTTTTAGGAGAGGTAAAAAAATAAGGCTCTTTTTATAGTTTTATATTAAGTTTAAAAATGTTTTAGTTTCTGTTTGTTCTTTATTACGTAAATAAATGTTTCTGAATTACCTTGGAGTTATTGTTTTTCTCTTCATGTACCTTGTTATACGCGAAATATCAAAAAGAGTAAAATGGCCGGGGCTACCCTCAGTTCCCCTACGATAGCTGCATAAACACGGTGAAGACAGCAAACATTTAGCAACCGGCTACGTTTATATTTGTTCCAAGCTGATTCTTAAGGGAGCTCCGAAAAAATTTCGATGCGATACCACACATGTCTGAGATAGGATAATGACGTATTTTGCATAAAATGGCGGTCTGAGAAGCATAGTGGTGCAAGGTGTAAGTAAACAAAGGAGATTGAGCTACGCCATGGATTCATAGTTCAACGGAAAACCATATATCTGAAGTTATGCTATAACTAAATTTTGTATGTAAGTTACACCACTATGATTCACGACTCATTAAATATTACAATGATCAATGAGACGACAGTGAGCAATATAGTAAGATATGGGCGAAATTTATTCTTATACTTGATAAATGAGAGTACGTTTCATTTAAAGTTTAAACAGCTTCAGTTTAAACGAAAAATGAATTGAGACTACAGAAGTTCTGTTATTATTTTTCTGTAAATAGGTAGTATATAGTTAGTTAAGATTCTGATGCATCTAATGCAATTATTATGCATCCTAAAGAGTTATTCATATGATTGTTGAAGGAAAGCTAAATTGCTACTCAAATAAAAATATATTTGTCGATGCAATTACCTATCGCTTTCATTCGTCATGTATTACCAATTCTAATAAATTTTCATTGTACTATTTCTGAATTTTCCTTGTTTTTACGATTAATAAACGATATTTAAAATATACAAATGATTGACATTATAAATACAATTGTATTTTCTTAGAGAGTCTTAAAGCATCAGGATCGAAAAAGCTTATTCTTAAAAGTAGGTCTAGACAGAAAGATATCTACTAGAAAATAACTGTCTATGTAAATAATTCTATCTGGTCTATCAAATAACCTATTTTGAATTCAGTATCTATTTCTGAATAAAAAATTATCGGTTATCGCCGACATAACCTACTTTATATATGCATAACACATTTATACATATGAAAATTCGATCGTATCTTTTAACGTTCCACTATGCGAGCATCACTAATCCGTTGGAACTTGTTCTTAATCGTTTGAGTATCTAGTTATACCACCACATATCTGCGTCAATAGCTCTGATGCTTCAGATGACCTAATTAATTGTAAGCCAATTTGGGAAAAATAAAGTGCTTTAATGTTCGTGTGCTGGAACACGGATTATTTTTTTCCGAAGAATGAATTCTGCTCACCTTCGTTTCCAAAATATTTCCTTCACATCCATCTGTATTTACAATTTTCTTTGTTCGAAACAATTTTCCAGTAAAAGTACGTGGAAAAGAAATAATTCGTAAAAACCATTCTTGAAAGAAACGATTAAAAAGGAATATTTAAAAAAAAAATGATTAAATACGTAATGCAATATAAGAATTTGCTACGAGGTTTGGAGGCTATGAATTTTTTACCGGACTCCAATACCGAAGGTACAGGTTATACTTGCACTGTCAACATTTGTAAAGTGTGACCAAAATGTAATTATATTTGTTATTACCGAAAATATAGGCCAAGTACTATATTCTATAATATCTCGTATCATTTTGTTACTTTTTTCCGCGATTTAAATAAGGGCAATACGATAAAGAAGCATCACGCTTGTCGCAAATCTTCTAAAGCAAATACGCGTGATACGTATCACTTTCTATATTTATGTCAGCAACCAACATCTAGGTTTGCATATGAAAGATAACTCAAGGGTGATTGGCAGTTACATATGCAAAGCAGTTCAAGGTTTAACAAAGGAACTTTGGGAGCTAGTTCGAAACTATAATTTTGAATTCATGTTCCTTGGTAGTTCGAATTTTCTGTGTAATATTATTTACGAAATATCAATATGGCGTTCGATTTCAAATGCCAAATGTCAAATTTTATATGCAAAATGTTAAATATAATTATTCTAAATAACATTCGATTATTTTCTACGACTCATATCGTCACAAATGTAGTTTTAAATTGGAATTTGAGATTTTAATTCAGGCACAGAGCTATGTTAATAGGTCAACTGTTTATAGAAATGGTTTACGTTCGTCATGGCACAATTAGCGTGTTCGTTAGACTTCCACTGGTCGTGACTTTAATTCAATAGACTTTGTAAACGATAATTATTACGAGTAATTAAACGCTATTTTGCTCGGAATGCGACCATACCAAGAAAACTTTTAGAATTAGGCGAAATACTTGAGTAAAAAGAGAAACGATTTTTGCAATGATTGTCATCATAGGTGTGAAATATTATGTTACCATTTCCAATGATTCGGGTCACGGTCCCGTATTGCACTCGCTGAAAATAATTTTAATCGTTGGTCATACGGTACAAAATCGACGACCGGAATATTAATGCCTCGTAACTGTGCGCATTTTCTAATCAAGCACGTACTTTTCATGTAAAACCCGCGATATGTTAGTCTAAATAACCATGGCTAATAACGCAAAAGGAAATAGAAGAAATTAAATACAGAAACAAAATAAAAAACGAAAACAATTTATTAATTAAAAGCTTGTACGTGGAAGAAATAGAAACCGATACTTTTCAATCTCAAAAACAGGCATCTATGTATTTTAAACGCTTCGATATTTAAATTTGAGCTGTTTTTGAGATCTACAAATATTATAGTTATATTTAATTGTTTGCAAATGTACAAGGTTAAGTGGTATTATCATTTCAACACATTCCGTTTGTACAAAATTGTAAATTTTAGTGACGATTTTTAAATTAAAAGTTTTCCGACGAAATTTCTGTAGGATACAGTTGATTATGTTTAACGCCTTTTAATATAGAAGAAAATATTGAGCTACGTTTGTATATAGAATGGTTTTCTTCAATAATTATATTTATTTTAATTATAGTAGTACAAAAATGTGAACTTAATGATTTTGCTTACCTGTGATTTGATAATAAGTACTATTAGTATACATACATAACTAATCTAAACTATGTAAAAGTAGAATTATTTTTATTGCACACTATTAGCACCAATTATTAATTCAGTCATATAATGAAAACTATAATTGTTTCGCGCTTGTGAAACATATTATATAACTGTATTCACAAAAGAATCGTGTGTAAAATGAAATTTGAAACTTTTCCTATCCACTCGTATAGGGTTATTTTACCCTAAAGTTTAATTACTATTTATTACAGTGTGTGGTTTACGTAAGAACTTGGATTCTATAACATAATTTTTTGAATGTTATCAAGGTTACCCTTACTTTTGTCAACAAAACTGTATTCTTTTTAAATTAAAAAGCTGTATTTTACTTACAATACTCGTAAGAATCAACTAATTGTGAATGAAATAGGAACGAGATAAGTAAATGATATCTTACAATCGGTCAGAAATGTATGCGAAG